CGGAGTCTATCTCCCCCTGCTTCCTCTTCCGGCGAGGAGACGCTCTACTACCCCTTGCCTCCCTCTCTGTTCCCCTCCGGTCCTCCGAGGAAAGCTCCCCGAGGCTTCCCAACCCAAATTGGGGGGAGTTCAAAGTTCCGGGGATATCGTGGAGGAGGGAGGGGCACAAAAGAGAAAATGGAATGAATTCAACGTTGCACACAGACCCTCATGCACACATAGACAAACACAGAGTGTGACCTTGTGCTTTCCTGAGGGGGGGCGCGGGTGCCTTTTCTCACGTTCCCCCCCCCAAGGCTTGGTTGCTTTCCCTGAACTCGGGAGACAACCCCACTTTCTCTCTTGGGAGCCCCCCTCCTTGGCTTCTTCTTCCTCTGTCTCTCTCTCTCCCCCCCCATCTTCCCCTCTTCTCCAGGAGGGTTCTTCCTCCCCCCCCCCACAAACACACACACCTACCTACCTTCTGACTTCTGGGGTGCAGGCAATACAGGGGAGATACAGATTGCAGCCAGTCAGGCAGAAAGGATGATCACCGTCAGTCCCCCCTCCCCCGCCATGACCCCAGAGGACTGAGGCAGGGAGTCCCAAAGGAATACGGCGCCAGGAAGGGAGGAGGTCCCACACAGTCCTTTTCCCACCTCCCTTTCGGGGTTTGGCTGAGATTCTCTGGTGGTGCAGAAATGGCCGAGCCCTGCTGGGAAGGGGAGCCCAAAAAACGCTCGGGAGAGATGAAGCCTGAAGGGGGAGCAGAGAGAGGGAGGGAGGAAAGGAACAGCAAGGGATGCAAAGGCAAAGGTCACGGCCTTCAGACCACTGGTGTTAAAATGGTAGACGAGGAGAGGGGAAGTCAGCGAAGCTTTTGGCTTCTGAGCATTGTGACATTTACCGACGTGGCCCCTGCTTGTTCCACCAAACCAAGGGCTCACGCTACGTATCCTGGGGGGGGGAGAGAGAGAGTTACAGTGACCCCTGGCTCTTACGCATATTTTAGTCGTATGGATTTAAAGGACATATTTTCCACCATTCCCACAGGTGTGCTGTGTGAAGTGTCCAGAGTGTATGTTGATGCACATTGCAGACATTTAATCATTGATTTGAGTAATATAATAATTCCACGTAGTCCTTGAAAATGTCTGTTCTGTTTGTAGTTTAAGTTGTAAAAAGTACAATTATAGTTACATGCCAGCATACCCTTTTGAAATTTGATTTTGCGTATTTGTGAGAAATGGCAGTACAGAGCTTTTATTTAAAACAGTACTTTTATTTGCAGCAATAATTAGCATGATTAAGTCCTCCCTGTGGAATGCTTTAGAAAAAGCTGGCTTTCCAATTATCTTGCCCTTCTTAGAGTTCCTTTGATGTAGAACATTTCCATCTTGATTCCTTGTCATTAGTCCGTAATGGTGTTCAAATCACAGTTTTCTATGCATCAGGCATTTCTGGTGCCTGTAAAATTTATATGTATTAGGGTTTTGAATATATATTTTGGCTTCTACGGTAGTCAGATTTAAATATATTTGCATATTGTGCAGTTTGGTGCCTTTTTGGTATAATTTAGGTTGAACCTCTTCTCGATTTACGGCACCGCTATCAATAATCCAGGCAGCTGTGCAAACGGCCTTGGACACCTTATCCTTTGTTTTCTTTACAAGAGAAATTCTCTTTCTGCTGCCTTCTCCGTAAGCAGCTTGTTCTCTGCTCCTTGAAAATGTTTCTCCTTGCTTTCTGTTTCCAGCCTGTTCGCAATTTCTCCAAAGATGATTATTAGAACCACATCTGAAACAAGATTGAACAGTCATGGCATGCCCACGCTGCTCTCTATCAGTAGCTGGCATTCTTCCTTTCATGCTGCCATCTGGACTCCATCTCCAGCTCTCACGGTCAGCTTTCATGTGGCTTCTCTCGGCACTGTCGGACCTCTCATTCCAACTATCCTGTTCCTGCAAAAGTCTGCTTGTGACATATTCCAAACTGAGTTGCGCATCAGGTAAACTTTCAAGGCTTGTAATCAGCATGTCAAACTGACTGGGCAGGCTGTTCAAAATGAAAAAAACTTTATGCTGCTCTGTAAAATGAACGTTCATCAGTTCTAGATCATTAAACAGTCCTTTCATTACTTGAAGGTGCTTAGACACACACTCACCAGGCTGCATTTTACACTTGTAGAGCCTTCTGGTCAATGAAATCTTTTTACCAGCTGTCTCTCTAATGTAAATGTTCCTCATGATCATCTTCAATAGACAAAATTAATGTACTAAGAGCTTTTTCATGCTCTTTTTCTTCTTCCTCATCAAACTGCACTGGAGGTTTATTCACAAATGACCATAATCCTTCTCTTCTCAACAGCATTTCAGCCTTTACTGCCCATGTCTTGTAATTTCTGTCATTCAGCCCGGTTAATACTAATCCTCCTATGCCTCCTGCACTCAACGCCATCCTGCCTTTTCTTCCAGTTCTCTGTTTCCTTTCCCCTCCTTTCCCCACACTCTTCTTCTGTAATAAGACACGTGTATTATACAAATATACAAACTGGCAGAAATTCAGCATAGCAGGCAAACAATAGGCAAACTGGCATAGAGGATAGTAGCAAGAGAAAGAAGGAGAAGATACATTAATGTTCATACTCTTCACTTATATACAGTTACACAGCTTCTTCTGTCCAATCACAGGACACATTACATCATCTTCTCCATGTGGATGTCACCTCTTCTCCAGACATTGCATCATCTTCTCCTCTGTCACAGTGACTCAGCAGTCACACAGCTGTTCATTATGGCAGCTCATTAATGTTACATTTCATACATGTTCAGGCCTATAAAATTACAATATCTTGACACACACACATTCAAGTGGATCAGTCCTTCAGGAAGAGTGATGGGGGCAACGTTGCAGCGCTCTTTGAAGACCACCGTCTCTTCCTGGGTCATCCTTCTTGTAGCCATCTTCCCTGTGGGCTGTCTCTATGGGCTGAACCTGGATGGGCCGAAGTATGCAGGGGGCTGGCTCTAATTTGTCCTGGGCAGGTACAGTCTGTGGTGGCCATGCAGGAAGGCTCCTGGCGCCTGTACGGGTTGCTCCGTTGGCCACAATCGTGGCCTGCGTCCCCTTTTCTTGTCTAGACAAACATATCAAATTTAGAACTTTTTTGCATGAAGCTTCTTGCTGATATAGAAACTTTAATCTCTTGCAACTCCCTGCAGATTTGTATCAGGCTCACCATCCCATCTTCCCTTGGAAGTTTCCATCTCCTTTTTAGGCCTGGGGCGCTCGTCTTTCGGGAACCAACACACCTGTCACTCATAACAGATTCCTTTATCTCCAATCCTGATGTCTCAGTCAGCAGGTGTAAAGGGTCGCCTCCGAGGTGTTCTGGACCCAAACATTCTCTTCTGGGTCCAGTGATCTTCCACAGGAGGGGGTCCTGCCAAAAGCCCTCTCCGAGGGGTTGGTCCATCTCTCCCTTTTCTCTCTTTGGCTAGCTTGCCTCTCTACTCCCTGATCTTTCTGCTCCACTCTCTTACCTCTTTCTCTCCACAATAAGAGGGGTTTTCAGGTCTTACTAAACCTTTCTGCCTCTTCAAGAGGTATGATCAATTTCTCCCACTGTTTGGTCCGGGGATTCTCTAATCATATCCACTCCCAGCCTTGTGGTAATGTCCTCTCCTTTTTTGTGCTTCTGCCTCTCCAGCTTCCTCTGCCCACCTTCTTGATTGTTCCTCCTGATATATCTCTCTTCTCTGTCTTCTTCCTGTCTTTTTTCTCCTGTACCTCCCCTGCTCCTAATGTTCCCTCGCCCAGTGGATTCTTTCTTTCCTCTGATGGACCTTCTGCTTTCCTCACTGGAACATCCACTTTAGACAACTCTGGCTCTTTATTTCCAGGCTCTCCCATCCCTTCTCTAGTCTGAACCTCAGATTCCTCACCCAGACCTATCTCTACTTTCCTGGTTTTCTCTGTGACTCTTCTCATCTCTCTATCTTCCTCTTCTCCCCACAAAGTTGTCACTTCTGTGATGGGTCATGTGTTCTACCTCTGGAGATTTATGGGCTTCTCCCTGCTCTTCTCAGGAAAGGACAGCATGCCAGTCGGGATGGGTTCAGCCCAACTGTAGATGATCATGGAACAAAAGAAAGGCTAATTGACTTAAGAGAGAGAACAAAGGAATCGACAGCGGATGTCGGAGCCAGCAATGCCCTAAGAACTCTTTTTATTGACTTAGCATGATTACATAGTATGTTATGAGAGAAACAGATAGGATACTAGTTACCTAATAATAACTAGGATTGGCTACAATAACCCTTTGATCTTATGCTCTACCTCTAAGCAAAAGGGCAGAAGAAAGGGCTACCCTGCCTGCTGGCAGCTGCCGCATCTTGCCAGGAGTGTATGCACATCACTGAAACAGAATGCAGCTACAACCTTTAGGCAGGAGTTTGCCACATTTCCTTTTTGTTTGTTTGTTTGTTGAGCAAAGGCACACATTCTTTGAGACAGGAAGTTATAACTGATGTGATTACACAACATGAGATAATCCAGTGCTGTGTGGTTGTCTAAAATAGCATCATGTAGCTGTCATTGTTCCTGATTCAGCAGGGCAATAGCAGTGGAAGTGCGGTTAATGGTTTTAGCTAAGGAGCATGCAATGTTGGCAAGAGTGTGAGAATTAAGAACAGCAAGGCCAGGAATGCCAACAAGCAATACAGCCAGCGAAACATATTCTGCTTTGGATAACAAAGTAACATTACCATCACAAGTACTATCAAGAGATAAGCTTTCTCATCTCAGCCGAGTCGAGGGGTTCTGCAAGGCAAAAGGCTGCATTAAGTTGATTACTAATCTACTAAGACAGCATTGTGTTTCTGACAGATTGGCTGGAATGTAGCTAAAAGTACGTTGACCGCATGTAAAAAACCACCCTGTAGGTAGCATGATATGTGCCAAATTATAAGAAATGTTGACAGCATGGTTACAATTCCATGTGGCTTTGGTTGTAGAAATGCACATGTCAGAGGAACTCTTGACTACTCTGGCACATAAAGTGGTTTCAGTAGATGCTACAAAAGGGGTGTAGAGGGAAAAGGTGTCAATGGGTATCAACGGGCAGTGAGAACATGGGAACTCTCAGGGCTCTGAGAACCCCCGGGTTTAACTCCAAGTCAGCGGACCCCCCAGTAAAGGGGGGCAAGTTTTCTACAGGAGAATGGACTTGCAGCAGTGGAGCTTTGGAAGCCTCCATGATTCAGACCTGCAATCTGTTTTTTTCCAGAAGAGTTTCCTTTCCACATCGCAACTGACTCATGAAGAAGCCATGATTAATGGTGAGTTGCTGCCTGGAGAAGTGGGAGGTATGAAGATTTATGATCTGACTACAGGAACAAAGACTAAAGGAACTGCTATTTTTATGGCTAGTATTTTATGGCAGATGTATTTTTTCTTCTTGAGATCTCAAGTGGCATAGAACTTTTGTAATTCCTGCAACTTTGGAGCTTTTTTACTGCATCACAGCTGAGAGAACTGGGAAAGTGAAACTAACTTGTCTTCCCCCAACTCTCCCTTCTCCTCCCAAGAGTTGGCTCTTCATAAATCAGAGGCTTGAGAATTTTAAATAACTTTGAACGATGTAACCTATGCAACTCTCCACGGAGCTATAAAGGTGAATTATAAATCAAATAATCATCTTTGCGACCAGAGTGCTCTGTGCAGGACTTTGAGTTCAGGCTGACTAAGGAACTATGAAGGTAATCTGAGCAAGTAG